TTTTTGGCATCTATTTTTGTGGGTCTAGATTGAGAATTGGGGTGTTAAAGATAATAGATACGCTCTGACTGCAGTAGGGCAGTGCTTTTCAAGTCTGGGTAGGCAATTGCCCAAGTATGGGTAATGTGCTAGGGAATTCCTGGGGTCACTGGATAAATGGGGCCCTTTCCTAGAGATTTAGTTTTATTTGAAGGTGTGAAGGAATTAACAAAAAATTATGACAGAACATAATTCACATGAATTTTTAGAGATAAATAAAGCAAGAGATGTCAAACAAGTTCTGTATGTGAGACTGCTTCAAGCTATGGCCCCTGATTCTTCTGGTTATTTACTTAGGAGGCTTTCCCTTGGGGCACCTGGGGCTCACCTGGCTGCCTGTTTGCATTTATAGTGAGATGGGCAGTGTGGCCGGGAGTGAGAAAAGCCCTGTTAAAGTTAGGGGTGGATTGGTTTTGATGGGTGAACCTGAAGGCCCAGGCCCTGTTCCCTCTTGCTGCTGTAGGGACAAGTCAAAGAAGAAGAAGAAAGTAAAGGTGAAGATGGAAAAGAAATCAACACCCTCGAGGGGCTCATCATCCAAGTCCTCATCAAGGCAGCTAAGTGAAAGCTTCAAGAGCAAAGAGTTTGTGTCCAGTGATGAGAGCTCTTCCGGAGAGAACAAGAGCAAAAAGAAGAGAAGGCGGAGTGAGGTGCGGCAAGAGTTTGGGGGTGAGGGGCACCTGAGGCGGAGGGGTGAATGTCTAGGGTCCGGTTGTGGTAGGTAGGTCTGTAAGAGTAATGAGGTGAAATGGAAGGGTGCAGATCAGAGGTTCTGAAGGCCAGTGCTACATTTGGAGGGGGGGCGGGTATGGAATTAGGGGTCCTTCACCACTGAAAAGTAGCTTGCTGGGAGGGCAACCAGGACTCTAAACCTTTCCTCTCAAGAGACCTTTGATTTTCAGGACTCTGAAGAAGAGGAGCTGGCCAGTACTCCCCCCAGCTCAGAAGACTCGGCATCAGGATCTGATGAGTAGAGAGGAGGAAAATTCTCTCTCCTTGGGCTTGCCCTGTCACACCTGCGGTCTCCCCACCCATGTTTTGGTACCACTTTCTCATATGAAATGTAGTCCCTGGGTTTTGTGCCATCTTGACAAGCTCTCCTGGTGGAATGCACTGCACTGAGGCAGCAGGGGAGGCGTCTCCCTCTGCTTCCCAAGGATGGCTCTTTATCATTTGGGGAGAGATTGGGTGGGGCAGTGCAGTGCAGGGTGGAATCCTGGGCCTGCTCTCCCGACCTTAGGGCTGTGGCTTCTGTTCACGGTTGCCGCAGCAGGGGTCATGTGAGGTCGAGGCCTATAGCTCCTAACGGGGGCCTATTTCTACTTTTATTTTGTATTTCTGGTCTGTGAAAAATCAACATTTAATAAAGGGAACTGACTTTGGAAACCATGTCCTAATGCCTTCTCTCTAGCCCTGTTGTATTGCACCCATTTTTGGGGGGTGGTGTTTACCATACTGTTGTGACTGGGCAGGGCCCTGCCGGCCAGCCGGGAAGCAAGCCTCCAGGTACATCCTGTTCTGTTCCCGGTTGGACGAGCATTGGTTTTCACAGTCTTCTGCCGGGATGGGCCACCTGAGAGTCTGGAAATGAGAGCTGATCTGATTAGGAAGTCACTCTCACAATTCCACTCCATTAGCCAAGCTGAGGGGAGGCAGCTTCTGGCTCAGTCCTTAATCACCTATGAGTCAAGGGTCTTCCCCGCGTTTAGATAATGGAATCAGGATTGACCAGCCTCCTCGCGGCGCGGGGCAACGGAAACCCGAGCCTGGAGAGATGTGGACGACGAGTGGTGTGGGGGGCGGGTAGGGGTGCAGGAAAGGTGTGGAGTATGGATGAAGCTTTTGTTTTGGGGGATTGGGAGGAATTTACGTCTGGGAAGGGGACATAAGAGCAGATAAGTGAGGACCAGCTAGGGAACCAGAGCTTCCCGTCGTCCTCAGGGTGGATCCACGTCTGAATTGATACACGTGGAGCGGCCACGTTGCGTGCGTTCTCAGGTGTTTCCCACAGGAAGCCTCTCCAGTCCGCCAACGGTGACCTTCTTTCTCGCCGTGACTCTATGGTGCTGCAATCAGTGCCGGCCGCCGGGCCCGAGCGGGCCGTCCTCAGGCAGCCTCTCTAGGCAGTCGTCTCGGTGGCCATCTTGCCTGAACGTTCCTAGCCTCCGAGTTGCGTCAGTTTCGCGGGGGTCCGAGCCTGGGACAGGCCCCTTATTTGCAAGACTTATAAATAATTGAGTACCGGGGCTGCGCCTATTTGCATACGACTCGGCGTGTTCTGCCCGGGCTTCCCACTCCCGGTTTCCACCGGCTCATGGATATTCATGAGGCGCTCTGGGGGCGTGGTCCTGGGCGGAGTTAGGGGCGGGGCCCCGCCAGGGCTCGCACTGGCTTGGTCCCGCGGTGACGGCGGCGGCAGCGGCAGGGACTGGCGTCGGGTCGCAGAGCCCGAGCCGAGCGGAGCCGGATCCCGGGGGAGCGCGTGAGTGCGCGGGGGCGGTAAGGAGGGCGAAGGAGGGGGCGGGGTCCGGGATGGGGGCGGGGGAGAGGCATGGAAGGAGTGGGCGCTTTCTTGCCGGCACCTAGGGTTGAGGTGGAGAGGGGGTCACCAGGAAAGTTTGCAGGGCCCGGGGGCGCGGAGGAAGCGGGGGTCGCGGGGGAGCTGGCGCGTGTGCGCGGGGGCGGAGGGTGCACGGTCTGGAGCTCGTGCTGGCCAAGCTAGAAGAAAGGGGGGAGGGGGCGAGGGCTTGAGGCGGGGCCGGGGGCGGGCGGAGCTGCTGGAGGGACCCCCGCCTCCCCCTCCCCGGGCCCGCGCTCGCCCCCACCCCCGGCTCCCTCGGCACGCCCCCAGCCACCCCAGTCCGCCCCCACCCGGTCCTCGTCCCCAGTCCCTCGTCTCTTCGCCGGCTGCTTCACAGCCAGCGCACAGGTCCTCCGCTTCTGCCGCCGCCGCCCCCTCCTCCTCCTCCTCCTCCTCCACCCTCTTCTCCTCCTCCTCGTCGGCTGCCGGCGTCCCCTCTGTGTCCAGAGCTCCCCACTGGGCCCCTCCAGACGGTCCCTCGCCCCGGGCTGTTCCGTCTTCCCGTTGGCCCTCCCTCCTCCAGCAGTTTACGTGCTGTCCCTGCCGACCTCTCTGGCCCCGGATCCGGCCCGAGATCCCAGGGTCCATAGGGGCGACCCCGCTTGCGCCGATGGCGCTTGGGCCCCTGCCCCCCTGGGCTGCAGCTGCCCGGCCTCTCCCCAGCCCCTCTGGCGGCCTTTGCTCCCGGGGGTTAGCTAGTCTCTCCCTGACTGTTGGGGGGTCAGGGGTGCTCCGTGCTGCTGCGATTCTGCCGCTTTTTGGCTACGGCCTTGGTCACCTGGGTTTCCCGGCTGGGGCCTCTGAGCTTCTGTGGCCCCTCTCAACTGGGGAAGTCGAGCCCCCCACTTCATTGCTGCAGCCCCTCATACTGCAATGCCCATCAGGCCCCCAGGTGAAAGGGTTTTACGGTCCTGGGCCAATTTGTCCCCATTTCTAACCACCCACACCATGTCCCTTGAAATAAATGTTCAAGGACAAGGAAGTAATCCTGTGTTTTTTAATTTTTTTTCATGGCGTGTGCCCCTCCCCCATGCACGCTCGGACTGGCTCTGCACAGTTATCACCCACCCACAGCATGCAGTCCTCCCTTGTAGTTGGCTGACCAAGGGATTGACGGTCCTGGGTTTCTCTTTATCCTCTTGGTGTTTTCTCTCATTTTAGAAGCAAGCTGGGGCAGGGTCAAATGTGAGGGGTGTGTGGGTTTTCCAAAGGCTGGGCCCCAGGGGTCCCTTCTCAGGATTTGGCCTTGTCTCCCCAGGCCAGCTGGAGTGGGTGCTGAGGAAGACAGTGCCCCTTGCAGGTAGGAGAGGGTTGGGTTGTCGTCAGGGCTGTGTGCATACCAGGTGTTGGGAAACCTCCTCCTGCCTTTCGAATGAGAGGGGCAGGGCTCTGGAGCCTGGGGGGTGGGGGTCTTGTGGGTGGGATGGAGCCAGAATGGGAACTGAGGAGGTGGTGGAGTATCTGAGGAGCAGGTGACAAGACTGGGGCCCGCAGGAGTGAAGGAATGGTCTGGAATGCCAGCAGCCTGTGGAGAGGAGGAGGTAGTTAGTTAGCAAGGTCTTAGCTCATTGGTGACACTGAATGGAATCATACGAATACTGGCCGACATTTACTGGCTACTTTTTACGGGTTGGGCGTTGTGCTAAGTTTGCATGCACCATCTCACATAGGTCTCCCACCAGCCTCAGGTACACCGTTTTTCACATAGGAAAATAGGCTTAGAGAAGTAAGCAATGTGCCTAAGGTCACACAGCTGGAAAGTGGTAGAGCCACTCAGCATTTGAATCCTGGTATATCAGACCCCAAAACTCCTGCTACATACAGGTTTAGAGGAGGGGCACCATTTGGTCCCTGCCATAGGGCTGTGTTGCTTGGTTTAAAATTTCTTCTGTTCCCCTCAAAATCCCTCAGGCCAACCCCGGGGGCAAGTGATGCCCAGTATCCCCATTTCATAGGCTGTGGCTATCCCACCCTGACTGCCTAGAAGGGGGAACCCCAGGGAGTTTTTCCCCCAAGCCACCCCACCCCCCGGATGTTCTCAAGTCCTGTCCCATTCTCCCAGCCCAGGCCTGGGCCGGCTCCTCCTTCCTCTTGGCGAGGCTCTGGAAATCCAGTGGGAGGCCATTGCTATGGCAACAGGACTAGGCCCTGGCTTTACCTCATCAAATTCCAAGCTGAAGCCAAAGCAATTGAGAAATTAAAGAAAAAAAATGTATTCCAGATGTTTACTTTTTATTCCTTATTTTTCCGTGTTTGGATGAGACAGCTCAGAGGGAGGCGGGAGTGGGGCAGGGATGTGGAAGGAGGAGGGGGAAGGGGGGGAGAGGGAACCAGTCCCAGCTGCAGGAGGGGGGGAAGGAGGGTGAGCGGGAAGGGGGAGGCAGGCGCTGGGGCGGAGCCCCAGGTTGGGGAGGAGCGGGTTTTTCCCGTCTCCCATGAGGTGATTCACGGAGAGACCTCAGACTTCATGGCCCTCTTGCTCTGCCCCTGAGTAGGTATCTCGGGCAGGGCTGCCGGCCCCAAGGGGTGCCTTGGGAACGGTAAGTGGGGTGTTTTGGAGAGCTTGCCAGAGGGAGCAGCGGGCGGGTCCCTGAAGCTCCAGGACTTTGGGGTTAGGAGCCTGGAGTTTAGAGACTAGTCTGGGAAGAGTGGAGGATACAGCCGCTGGGGACGTCCCTTGACCTCTTCCAAGCTCCTCTGAAGTTCCTGCTTCCTGTCCCACACTCTGTCTCTGCTAGTTGTAGGAGACTTCTCTCAGCTAGGTCTACTGCTAGTGCCCAGCCCCTTTGCCTTCTCAGTCTCTCTCTCTCTCTTTTCCTGGGTCTCCAGCCACCCAGCTCACAGCCCCTCTGCCCCCCAATTCTCACGCAGATTCTGCCGCATGTGATGAAAGTGTCAGCTCTCAGGGAAGGCACACCCATGGCTTCCCCACCGCCCCGGGAGATGGAGGAGGAGCTGGTATCTGCTGGCTCCGAGCCAGGTACCTATGGGTGCAGGGTGGAGCAGGGTGGCTGGGAGGAGGGGGGAGGGGCAGCAGCTGAACCCCAGCTCTGCCTGGGAGGGGGTGGGGCAGTGAGGGCAGGAGGCATAATGGGGATATGCAGGGTGAGTTCTAAAGGCTGTCCGCTCCTGTTGAGACCTTTCAGAAGCATTTGAGACCCTAGATCCCCAGCAGATGAGAGCAGACTGACCCTCGAGGGCAAGCGGATTAAACTGCGTGTTTTGCAGGGGAGGACACTGAGGTCTAGGGAGAAACGGCATGCACCTAGGGGAGGGTTTAAATCCAGGCCTCCTGGCTCTGTCTAGACTCCTTTCTTGGGCTGAGCCCAATGAGTGGGTGATACAGGATTCTATGGGAAGGGCCATGGCCATGAGTAATTCCAAGTCTTTTATTTGGCATTGGAATGCCTTATGTAGAAGGTAGGTTTCTGGTCTTGTTTTTTTTCCTGTAGCAGATTACTTCTGTTTGGCTTAGGTCAAAAGTAAGTTTGCATTCCTGATCACACACCAGATGACCCAGGTGGCTTGGGTGTGCACTCGGTGGGGGGGTTGGGGGGGGCAGTGGGGAGACAGAGTGGGGAGGCTGAGCTACGTTTACTGTGGGTGGTGGCATAGTAGAGTGTCATGTTGGAGGAAAGGACTGGATTGGGGACATGGTGGCCTGGCTGCTTGATGTGGGCAGGCCGGCATCTGTTTATTGGCTCTTGTTCATTCGTTTGTTCATTTGAGAAGAACGTGTGCTAGGGTGCAAAATGGGGTACAAGGAGAAATAAGGTGCCAGCTGGGCCCTTAAGTGGCTTTAGCTTGTGAGGGAGTTGGTTAACATTTTTGAAATTTGGAGTTGGGAGAAGATGCTTCTGAGATATGTATGGAAAATCAAGGAAGGCTTCCTGGAAGCGGTGACATTTGACTTGGACCTAGAAGGATGTGAACATTCTGAGTTTTTAGGGTGGGCGGTGAAGTTCTGTTTTCTGGTTCTTCTGACAGTTCCCCAACCAATCCTTTCCTTTTGGTAGGTGACCCTCGGGCCAAACCTCCCGTCAAGCCCAAACCCCGGGCCCTGCCTGCAAAGCCAGCCCTGCCTGCCAAGCCAAGTCTGCTGGTGCCTGTTGGGCCTCGGCCCCCTCGGGGTCCCCTGGCTGAGCTGCCTTCTGCCCGGAAGATGAACATGCTGGCAGGCCCCCAGCCCTATGGTGGCAGCAAGCGTCCCCTTCCCTTTGCACCAAGGCCTATGACCGAGGCCTCTACTGGAGGAGAAGCCCCTCGAGAGACTGGGAAAGAGGAGGCTGGGAAAGAAGAGATACCCCCTTTGACACCCCCAGCCCGATGTGCTGCCCCAGGAGGTGTGCGGAAGGCCCCTGCCCCCTTCCGTCCAGCCTCAGAGCGCTTTGCCGCCACCACGGTGGAAGAAATCCTGGCCAAGATGGAGCAGCCTCGGAAGGACGTCCCTGCCAGCCCTGATCGCCTCTGGGGCTCCCGCCTCACCTTTAACCATGATGGCAGCTCGAGATATGGCCCCAGGACCTATGGTGTGGCCACAGGTCCCAGGGATGAGGACGGTGGGACCCTCTCCAGGGGATGGTCCCAGGAGGGGCCAGCAAAGTCTCCCAGCGAGTGCCAGGAAGAGCACAGCAAGACCCCTAAGGAGAGGTGAGGGGTGGGAGGCAACTTGGAGGACACATGGGTGGCCTTATCTGGGACTGTGACCTTCACGTTTAGGTTAGTTTAGTTTAGTGTCCTGTGAGTGCAGGCAGACCCTTGTCTAAGTCACAAAACATTTTCCCTGTAGACAGCGTCATCGTAACGATGTTCTTTTTATAATTGTAATGCTGTTTACAGAGGGGATGGATGTTCACAGTGGAGTTCAAATGTACCACAGGGAAGTTTATTTTTAGGTTTTTTTATACTGAGAGTTGAATTTTGCCTCATTTAATTGACAGCCATGCTATTTAGTGAAGAGAATATTAGACCTGTTCTAGAGATCTGGAAACTGAGTCTCATAAGTGACCTTTTGTGGCTCCTCAGCACGTAAGAGACAGAACTGGGATTTGAATTCAGGTCTCTTTGAGGCCAAAGCACGTTCTCTTAAGTGTAGCTCGCACTGTGGGTGGAACAGTGTGCAGGTGCTGGTGTGTGTGTGGAGGGGAGCAGGGGACAGGATGAGTAGGGTGCCCATGAGGAGGAGTCTGATAGAACAGGTAAGACATGAGCACACCTTGATGTCTGGGCAGCTTGCGTCAGTGCACGGGGCTTACGGCCAGGTTGGAGACTGTCGCGTAGGCTTCACTTCCCTGGACTTGGTGCCAGTGTAGACGGAAGGCTGGCCGGGAGGTGCCCCTTGGGGTGGTGGGCACGGGCGTTGGAGGGAGAGGCTCCCCTCCCCCTCCTGCTGCTCTGCAGGGCTGCTGTGGTGTGGGCTGAGCCCCAACCTGAAGGCCCCCCCCCACCCTGCCCTCCAGCCTTGCCGTTCTCACACCTGAACCTGCCTGGAGGGTAGGGGCCCCAATTCACCCGTCTTTGTTCCCAGCCTCTGGGAGGTCACACCCTGCCCCGGTCTGCTCTCTGGCTTCCTCCCCTTCCTTGCTGTAAGCAGAGCTTAAGAGAACAACTTCAACTTTGGAAAATCACTCTTTCCCCTCATCCTCCCCCTGCAATCCTTCAAGAAGTATTGGCAGGGCAGCTGGGACCAGCTGCACTCTCCCTGGCTGGAGGAGAACATTAACCCCTTAGGGGCTAGGAGAAGGAAGACTTATCTTTTGGGGAACCACTGAGGGGTCTGGGCACGCAGGGTGCTTCTCCTGAAGGAGTGGGTTGGGGGGGTGGCATTTAACCCTTGATGTGCAGGAAGGGAATGGGGACCTTCTCCCTGGGCACTTTCTTTATGGAAACTGTACAGCATCTCTGTCCTCAGTGATTCCAGCGGGGGGGTTCAGGAATAGATGGCCTGGGGTGGAGGGGGGTTAACTTTGGGTGCTAGTGAAGTTCCTTACGCAGACTCTCGATCCACTCTCCCTTTGTCCATCAGTGAGGGGCTGCTCCATTCTTTGCCTCCATTTCCTGTCTTGTTCTTTCACAGGAACACCGCCCCTTTGGACCTGGCCTTCAACGGGGACCTGGCTCTGCCAGCCGGCTCGGACCCACCTGCTGATGTGAGTTAGCTTCCTATTACGAATCAGAATCCTAGTATTTTAGAGCTGGAAGGGTCACCTGAGATCATCTGTGTTACCTCCTTGTAGTTCAGATGGGGACACTGAGGCCTGTGGAGGAGGTGGCTTGCCCCAGGTCTGGCCCCAGGACTCAGATTTCTTGACTCCCAGGCCAGCGTTCTCGACCACTGAGGCGGTTAAGTGTGGTTCAGGCCGTGAGACAGGTCATTATGAAGAATAATTACAGTGTCTATAACAACTAGCACTGATCAGGTACCTACCTGGGCATGTCCCAGGAACAGTGACTAACTTAGTCGTTGTGGTAACTCTGGCTAGTGGATGCTCCTGGTCCCATGTGAGGCGTGTGAATGCCACAGCTCACAGAGGTTAGGTATGCAAGGGCTGAAGCCTGGTTCCACTGTTCTCCCTGGCCGAGCTGCCTTCTTGGGCTTTAGAAGAGGAGGGTTTCCTGTTTCATTCCCACTGTTCCACACAGCATGCTCAGAGGGTGGCCAGGCTCAGCCTGCTTTTCTTTCTTTTTTTTTTTTTTCTTTAAAAGATTTTATTTATTTGAGTGCAGGGCAGGAAGAGATCGGACAGGAGTGGGGGAGGGGCAGAGGGAGAGGGAGAAACAGACTCTCTGCTGAGCAGGGAGCCAGATGTGGGGCTTGATCCCAGGACTTTGGGATCACAACTCGAGCCGAAGGCAGACGCTTAACTGACTGAGCCCCCCAGGCGCCCCCCAGCTTGCTTTCCTAAGTAACTGATATTCCTTCTTGCTCACAGAACCCTTGCTAGCCGAAGGCTGTCCCGTCTCCCCGACAGTGGAGACCTGACCACATTTCCTTGTCCATCCAACAAATGTTTACTGAGCACCTACCATGAGCTGGGTGCCGGGGACACAGCAAAGAACAAAGCTCACACTGTCCTGCTCTCAGGGAGCTCACCTTCTAGTGTGGGGAGGCAGACATGAGCACAGGCCGCCCTGTGAACCTGCAGACGGTAGCGAGTCAGACAAGTGTGGGAGACCTGGAGAGGCAGAGAGCTCTGGGCTGAGGGTAATCGGGGAGGCCTTGCTGTGAAGGTAAGGGAGTGAGCTGCATGGGTGTTTGGGGAGCAGCATGTTGGGCAGAGGGAACTGCAAGTACAAGGGACTTGGTACCTTGCTGGCTAGGAAGCCAGGATGCCTGGATTGCAGCGAGGGAGGGGTGTCGTGTGCTGGGGAGGTGTGACAGGTGGTGGGTCAGGGTGCTTGGAACCTCACAGGACGCCAGAAGGACTTGGGCTCCCTGAGAGGAAGAAGCCGTTGAGGGGTGTGGGGGAGGGCGGTGACGTGTTGCTGGCTTAGTTGTAAAGGGTCGTCTTGGTGGTAGGGAGCTAAGAGCAGTAGCACGGACCAGTCGGGGCATCATCCAGGTAGGAGATGATGGTGGTTGGACCCTGGCAGCTGACTTGGGAGGCGTGAAGTGGGCAGGGTTTGCAGGTAGACCGCTAGGAGAGGGGGGCCAGTGCAGAGGCACGGATGACAGCAGGGCGTTTGGCCTATGCAGCGGAGGGGTGAGGTTACCATTCACTGAGATGGGGACTGGGAAGGCCGAAGCAGGATCAGGGGAAATGAGGAGTTTGCTTCTGGATTTGTTGCGTTTGCGATCCCTCTTAGATACCCAAATGGAAATGGGGGGGCAGCTGGGGAGTTGTAGGCGTAGAGGTGGCGGTTAAGATGGCTGAGGTCCTCAGGAGGGTTAGGGTCACCAGAGGTACAGGGGAGGTAGTGGAGGGCAGAAGGCCCCGGCCCCAGGCGTAGCAGGGGACACCCTGAGGGGATCGGGGATGGTGGAGTCCTAGAGGCCACATGGAGCCAGCAGCCGGCTTCGGGGCTGGACGAGGGCATATCCATGGTCAGATGCTGCTGCCAGGTCAAGGCAGGTGAGCCCTGGGAATGGGATTTAGCTACAGGGAGGTCACTGGTGACCCTGACAAGAGTATTAGCTGGCATGGTGAAGGGAAAAGGCTGTTGGGAGTGGGTTTGGGAGAGAATGGGGTGAGAGGAACTCTCCCGATAGATAGTGAACGTAGGCAAGGTGTTCAAGAAACTGGGTGGTAGCCTCAGAGAGAGGTGAGGTTAAGAGGGTGTGTTTGTTTTTGAAGACAGAAGAAATGAGAGCGGTTTGTGTGCTGATGGAAATGAGCCGGTAGAGAAGGAAAGGTCCACGATGCAGGAGGGAGAGCTCTGAGCGAGGACGCTCACAGGCATAGAAGGGGGGAGCACAGTGCTTGGGTTCACGTGCAGGCGGCGGGGTATGAGGGCTGGCAGCTGACGGGGGACGGCAAAAGCGTTGCCTGGGAGTGTGGGCAGGGAAGGGGAAGTGTAGGGGGACCGCTGGGCACTCGAGGCCTATCTGAGGTCCTGGAGGTCCGAGTGCAGGTCAGGCTGTCGTGAGACCATGCATTCTGTTTGCTTGCTTTTCTCCAGCCACGTCCAGCCCCAGGTGTGGCTGCAGGGAGGTGGAGACCTGGGACAGGTGGGTCACAGAGTCGAGAAGAGGTCAAGGAACAGAGAGCCAGGATGCGAGAAGTGTCGCCTGTGTGGCCATTGAAATCACTAGGGATTATGCCAGGTGGCTAGTGGGGGGAGGGGTGCTGTGATCCTGGAGTGAGGGCTCTGCAGGGGGCACTAGCAGGAGGGATCACTGGAGGTGTTTTTCTTTTTTTCCTTTAAGATTTATTTATTTGAGAGAGAGGAGAGAGAGAGCATGGCAGGGCAGGGCAGAAGAAGAGGGAGAGAGAACCCCAAGCAAACTCCCTGCTGAGCGCAGAGCCCCATGTGGGGCTCAGTCCCAGGACCCTGAGATCATGACCTGAGTCGAAATCAAGAGTCAGGCACTCAACCTACTGAGCCACTCAGATGCCCCGAAAACTGGAGTTTTGTAGAGTGGAGGGAGTATGGAGGGAGTGGAAGGGGCCTTGAGAAGCAAGCAGGATTTCCCCCTGCCCAGACCGAGCAGGGGATGAGGTGGGAGAAAGCACCCCATTGGAGAGGGTGGCAGGGGAAGTGTGACCTGTGGGGAGGGCAAAGGTCAAAGGGAGCAAGGCTTCCTTCATTGTCTAGGGACAGGCCAAGTGGAGTGGTGGAATGCCAGGAAGCCGGGTGCTTGGTGCCCCCTCTGCCCCTTCCTCTTTCCCCCCGGGCCCCTGTCCCGTAGCATCCGTTGTTTCTGTAAGTCCTATCCCAAGAGGCCATGTGCACAGATCTTATTTAATTTTGACCTAATTCTCTGAGATGGATGTTGTAGCCCTAGCTTACTGAGGGGAGAGCTGAGACTCTGAGATCCCAACGACCACCATGGTCATGGGGAGGGCGTATGGCTTAGGAGGGGCAGTGCCCGTCACTCCAAGCCCTGTGCTTTCATGTCCCTCGGTGCCTTTTGCCTGAATCCCGAGTCAAGGCCTGCCTGCTTCCTCGGGGAGTGGATAGTGCTGGGACCTGTGGATACGCAGAATCCTCGGGAGAGGGCCTGGGGTGGGGTCTGTGCGAACCCTAAGAAGCATGAGATACCGTAAATCACTTTTGGCACCTCTCCTAGCTGTCCTGAGAGGCCCACCTTCTGAGCTCCTGTCTCCTTCTCTTGTCTGTGGAGTGAGAGTGTGAGGAAGCAGCTGATCTGGGGTCTATGTGGGGTTGGCAGGGCCCTTCTCCCCAGCTGGGCAGTGTGTAATGGCTCTTCACCTTTCTCTTGCATCTTGCAGATCGCCAAGCGCTGGGACCCCTCGAGTCCAGGCCCCGCCTCAGAGAATGGAGGCTCCGCCAGCCCAGGCCTCCCCACTGAAGTCTCAGGCCTAGCCCATGGGTCTCCCCGACTTCACTCACCTGATGAGGGGTCTTCCCAACTTCACTCACTTGATGAGGGGTCTCCCCGACTTCACTCACCTGATGCGAGCTCTCCCCGCCATTCTCAGCTTCCAGAAACCCAGAGTCCTACAGTTTCTGGGCCTTCTCCCTGCCTCCCTATGACCCCAGCATCTCCAACTGTAGCCCTGCCCGATGAGGGTCAGAGCTCCTGCTGCCCCCCAAGCTCAGGGCTCCCTGTTGTGGAAGCCCCAGAGGCCCCCACACCTGGCAGCCCAGCCCTTGAGAAGGTCTCGGGGCACCGCAGCCTGGAGCAGCCCCTAGCTACCTCTGCCCAGCCCCTGATGGAGGGGGGTGAGTTGCTGGACCTTCCTCGGACGTTTCCATCTGGGGATGTGGTGGCCAAGGGTGACATAGACCGTCCCATCAGCCTGGTTCAGCGCCGATTTTCTGAAGGTGTGCTCTGGCCACCTAGCCGGGACCAGGAGGAGCTGGGGGGCTCTCTGACTGCCCTGCCCCAAACCCAGGGGAGCCAGTCTGCCCTGGATCGTCCCTTTGGGAGTGGGACAGAGTCCAACTGGAGCTTGTCACAGTCCTTTGAATGGACCTTCCCTACTCGGCCTTCGGGTCTGGGGGTGTGGCGGCTGGACTCCCCACCTCCCTCCCCCATCACTGAAGCCACTGAGGCCGCCGAGGCCGCCGAGGCTAGTGACTGGGCTGCATCCAGCAGAGAGGAAGGAGTGTCTGAGCAGGGGCGAGGGGCCCAGTCAGCTCCAGAGGGGCCAGGAAGGCCTGGGTCCTGGGTGCAGGCGGATGACCTGGGCATCTCCCCAACCCAGAAGGGGGATGGGGAGAGTCAGCTCCAGTCCCCAATTCCCCTCAAGCCCTTCTCAACACCAGGGGGCCCACCTGGAGTGGCCTTGCTGCAGGCAGAGGAGAGGTGTGAGGAGCGGGAGCCCCTGGCTGGACAGGAGTCCCTGCTCCCTCTGGCCACCAGGGAGGCCACTCTGCCCGTCCTGGAGCCAGTCCTAGGGCAGCAGGAGTCAGCACCCCCCGACCAGCCCTGTGTCCTCTTTGCTGATACCCCGGACCCCCAGCAGGCCTTGCCTGCTGAGGAGGAGGCCATGACCCTGGCCCACGCTGAGGCCACCCAATCCAGGACGGAAGGTCGAGAGCCCTGTAGTGTGTCGCCTGAACCTGCAGGCCCTGACGGCAGCTCCCGCTGGCTGGATGAGCTCCTGGCCTCACCACCACCTAGTGCGGGCAGTGCTAGGCGGGGAGCTGGATCTGAGCTCAAAGACGCGCAGACCCCAGGTGCCTGCTCCGAGGTGAGGACCGGGGCACAGGGAGGGTAGTGGGCCTCCGGATGGAAGCCGGGGCTTGGATGGGCCTTCTCAGTGTGGATTTCATGTGTCAAGAGCTTGGGATACGGCCCCGGGCCAGGCACCTAGAGCTGTGTCCCTCGCAGCTATACGGTGTGGCAGAGCTGATGGAGCTGAGGGTACGGGACCGGTGTGAGCTCATTTCCAGCTCCAGCTCCCGCCAGCCGAGCCGTCTGGCTAACCTCTTAGCTTCTGAGACCTTTCATGATAAGAGCCATTTGCCTCTTAGGGTTGGACTGCGGGTAGACCGAGATGTCCAGGTGCTCAGTGCTTGACCTATACTGAGCGTTAGTCCAGCTTTACAGACAGGATTGTGGAAGGCAACGTAGCGCAGCCATTTAGCATGCGGGCTCTGGAACCAGACTGCCTGGCTTCTCTGCTCCTTGCCCAGATGTGAGCTTGAATGAGTTACCGTTCTGTGCCTCGGTTTCTGCGTCTGTAAAATGGGGGTGACGATAAACTCTCCCTCACATGGCGGAGACTAAAGAGGCCGTAAAGCACTAAGAATAGCACGTAGTTCATCGTGAGTGTTTAGGAAGTGCTGGCTTTATGAACGCTCTTACCCTTTTTTTTTTTAAAGATTATTTATTTGTTTATTTGGCAGACACAGCGAGAGAGGGAACACAAGCAGGGGGAGTTGGAGAGGGAGAAGCAGGCTTCCTGCGGAGCAGGGAGCATCCCAGGACCCTGGGATCATGACCTGAGCCGAAGGCAGACGTTTAACGACTGAGCCACCCAGGCGCCCCATGAACGCCCTTACCCTTGAGCTCAAGACTTGCCTTGTAGACAGGAAGCTGAGGCCCAGAGGAGGCGGAAACTTGTGCAGGGTTACCCAGCAAGTCGGCAGCTGGGCCACGGTCAGAGTGCCAGTTCCCTGGCCAGTGCGCTTTCTCCTACTAGGCTGCTCTGAATTTAAGGGCTGAGGTCCAGGTGGCTTTTGAAATGTCTTTTTCAAGGCCAGCCTGCGCTGGTAGGGGTGGGGCTGGAAGGAAGGCGGAGCCAGTGGGCCTCTAGGGGTCGGGGGCGGAGAGGTGGAGGCGGAGGAGGAGGAGCAGGAAGGAGTTAAGACCAGGCTGGCTCCCGGTAGGTGTGTCTGTCCCGGGCTCTGGGTGACTCAACTAGCTTCTGGGCGGGGCTACCAGAGCTGCAGCTGCCGTGGAGGGAGCGGGGCCAGGGCGAGCGCGAGCCAGAGTCGTTGGACAGGTCCGGGCGAGGGGAGCGGCCCAGCCCTGTCCCTGCACCCAGCCGCACCCAGGAGCCCAGGGCGGGCTGGGGGCAGGGGCCATGGCCGGGCTTGGGGACCGGGAACCCAGAATGTCTGTCTTGGAGAGGCTGTTAGCCAATGCGGCGCTGAGGGATGAGGCTGGCCGGCTCCGCAGCCCCGAGCCCAGGGCTCCCCCGCCTGAAGGAGTGAGTCGGGGTGGGGAGGGTAGGGGGGCCGCAGGGAGCCCTGGGCTGGCTCTTTTTCCATGGCAGAGGTTGTCCCTCCTGTCTTCTCCAGGGATGAGGCGAGGGCTATGAGGTCTTCCTGCAAAGGGCTAGGCAGAAGGGTGCTTTCCATAGAGAGGAAGGGGCTGGGAACTTCAGGAAGGGGTGAGTAGGGCCAGGGGCAGGGTCGGACTATTCCCTTGGAAAGGAGGTTGTGGAGGGCCTTTGAGTCTTGATCACTCCTAATAGAAAGTGGACCCCTTTCACAGCCCTGTGAAGACCACTCTGCCAGGCTGCCTTTCATTTTGGCAGTTAGCCAAGTGTTGCCCAAGGGCTGTAAACATGACCATGGGATCATTGATTGAGTGTCCATAACAAGTGCCCCTTGCATGCCAGGCACTATGCTGAGGTTTGGTTTAAACAATCTTGTTTCATTCTTCCAAACCACCCCATGCAGTAGGAATTCTTCCCATTTAAGGGTGAGGACCCTGAGGCCCAGAGTGGTTAAGTGATTTGCTCAAGGTCACACAGCTGGGATCTAAACCCAGGCTTTCTGTTGCCGAAGTGGGGCTCTCAGACACTAGGCAGTGCTGAGTCTCATTCTGGACTCCCACTCTGATGGACTCTAAGCATTGTTTTTTTGTGTCTTTATTTTCTGATTCCTAGGGACTCCTTGGCTGGGCCCAGAAAGACCTGCAGAGTGAATTTGGGATTGCAGCAGACCCACCTCCCAGCAGTTTCCGTCCTTCCAGCTGGTCCCAGGACACTTCTCAGAACTATGGCCTTGGGAGTGCAAGCCCTGGAGGGGACCCAGGCCTTGGAGAGGGAGACTGGACCAGCAAGTGTGGGCAAGCAGCAGGGGAAGGGAGTGCCAGGGAGTGGGCCAGCAGGTGTGGCATTGGCCAGGAGGACATCCAGCTCGCCAGCCGGGATGGGAGTGGAGTGTCTGCCCCAGGGGGCCTTGCCGCCCAGGACTGGATGATCGGAAAGCCAGCCCAGCTTGGTGCTCAGCAGAGCCAGGAGGCAGATGTTCCAGACTGGGAGTTCAGAAAGCGGGATTCCCAGGGCACTTACTCCAGCCGGGATGCGGAACTCCAAGACCAGGAATTTGGGAAGAGAGACTCGCTGGGTACTTACAGCAGTCGGGATGTAAGCCTTCAGGACTGGGAATTTGGGAAGAGAGACTCTCTGGGTGCTTATGCCAGCCAGGACATAGACGAGCAGCGCCAGAAATTGGGGAAGAAGGACCACCGTGGCAGGTACAGCAGCCAGGATGCAGATGGGCAGGACCCGGAGTTTGGCAAGAGCGTGTCTTCGCTCAGCACCTTCAGCAGCCGGGGTGCAGAGCCGCCGGATCAGGATTTTGGGAAGAGCGCCTGGATGAGGGACTACAGCAACAGCAGCAGTTCCACAGCCGGGGGCCCTGAGGACCGAGGCTTCGGGATGAGAGCCCTGCGCGCCGGCTTCAGCCCTGAGGAAGCCCAGCAGCAGGACGAGGAGTTTGAGAAGAAGGTCCCGAGTGGCGGAGACGGCCCAGGCGAGACCAGCAGGGAGGCCAGCCAGCCTGAGGAGAGAGAATCGGGGGGCCTGTTCGGCCCCAGCACCCCCCAGGGCCAGGATGGGGCACCGGGACAGAGAGACCAGAGCAGCTCGCATGGCGGCGGTGCCGGCCCGGAGGCAGGGGCCCAGAGCCCGGGCCATGCCGGCCAGGAAGACAGGGAGGTGGGCCGGCGAGGCTGGGCGGGCGACTTCGGCCACGGTGTCGTCCCCCAGCCGGAGGCCACCTTCAGCCCGGGGCAGCGAGATTGGAGTGGCGACTTCTGCGCAGAAGCCTCCGAGAGAGGCCATCAGTTCGGCATCATCGGTGACGACCGGGCGGGCAGTGCTGTTCTGAGCCCTTCTGGCCAGATGGCGGGTGGCCCCTTCGTGCCTCCAGAGAAGACCCCGGCCGGGCCTGTGGACTGGACTGACCAGCTGGGCCTGAGGAACTTGGAGGTGTCCAGCTGTGTGGTGGCTTCTGGGGGCTCGAGGGGCACCAGGGAGGAAGCTATGGGACACATGAGCTGGTCAGACAAGCTGGGCCTGAGAGATGTGGACCTGGCCGGCCGTTTGGAGGCTGGAGGGTCCGAGAAGCCCAGGGGGATTGGGGTCGGGGAGAAGAAGGACTGGACCTCCAACATCGGGGGGAGGAGCAGAGATCTGGCTGGTGTCGGGGAGGTAGGGAGCCCCAGCCAGGCTAGAGAGAGTGGCGTGGGACAGACTGACTGGTCGGGTGTGGAGGCTGGAGAGTTCCTTAAATCAAGGGAGCGTGGGGTGGGACAGGCAGACTGGACACCAGACCTCGGGTTGAGGAGCATGGCGGGGGCAGGTTGTAGCCCCAGAGAGCTTGGGGCGGGCCAGGTGGACTGGGGCAGCAGTCTGGGCCTAAGGAATTTGGAAGTGCCATGTGACCTAGAGTCTGGAGGTTCTCGGGACCCACGGGGATGTGGAGTGGGCCAGATGGACTGGACCCAGGACTTGGGACTCCGGGACATGGAGCTCTCGGGGGCCCCGAGTGAAGCCAGGGAGCATGGGGTGGGAGAGGTCAGCCAGTGCCCGGAGCTAGGGCTCAGGGACCACAGCACCTTGTCCCCGGGCCTGGAGGCCAGAGAGCTGGGGCCTGGCGGGACAGGTGGGCCAGAGACCCACAGTGAAGACCACTCCACACCTTCCCTGGAGACCTGCCCTGAAGACCCTGGGATGGAGACAGGAGAAGCCCCCGGCTTTGGAACCAGGTAAGGGAGCCCCATCCCTGTGTGGGAGGGAAGGTTTGGCAGCTCTCTGAAACATTGCAGCCCTTTTCAGGGGGGAAGAAACCACTTTCCCCTAAGGACTTGTAGGGTTGGAAAATTGAGATGGTTTGGACTGCGAATTACTAATTTTACTTTTTTTTTTTTTTATTGGCCTGTGATACGCATACAGGTGGAGTCTTGTTTCGATGATGGTGATGTTTGAGGTGTTTGCTGCCCATGCTTTAGGCTCCTTGGTGACTGTATCATGACTGTGCTAGAATGGTGTGTGTCCCATCTTTGGGGTCCCCCACGTGTCTTGGCCCAAAGCCGCGGGGCTTCCCGGGCCAGGGAACACGGATGCTTTCACGGGTGTCAGCGGGAGGACTGGACTCTGTGTCCACTCGGCCTGGGACACTCCAGGTTAGGAGTGGAGTAGACAGTGGTGCTTGTTGTTTCTTGCAGAGATTGGGAACTTAGTGCTTCTTGCCTGCCCTGTCTTTAGGCCCAGAAGAGCAACAGTTTAAAAACCTGAAGGTCATAGGGACCTGGCTCCTGACCCCCTGATCTTGACCTCCACACACAGAGTGACTGAAAGGGAGCTTTCCAGAGGAACAGACTAGTGGTTTTACAAGCCAACCACAGCCTGTCCCAGGGATTTTTATGTTTTGAACCAGCTGAGGTGATCTCACAGCTGGAAAGGGGGCTGAAAAGAGGTTGGTTCTGTTTTGTTAACATTTCCCGTTCATTGAGATTTGGTTTCATTCTCTTGACTGGGTAGAAGGTTATACCTTTCTGAAGAAGCTGAAGCTTCTCACTGGGCAGTTGGGGAAGAAGGGAAAGGGAGGCGTTGGGTGGGGGCTGTGTTGTGAGTGGAAGGGGCTGAGGGTAGTGGCAGGGTGGGGGGAGGAACGGGGAATGGTCTAGAGGGAATGGTGGGGATGTCAGCCAATGGGTTGGGAGAGGCACTGGAACCAAGGAGGAGGAGAGAGAGAGAGGAAGGTGGGCAGAGCGCGGGGAGGTGCTGAAGGCTGCAGGGCAGGGGTGGGTTCACAGGACGTGGAATCCAGAGGCTCCTGGGGTCTTGGATGAGTTCCGGGACATCTGTAACGTTAGCCTCAGGAAACTTTCCCATTCCTAGTGCCCAGGACCCTGCTCTGCAGGGCCCAGTGCTCTGCTGCCTACCTTACCTCGTTGACCTTCACAGCTGCCCTGTGCCATGGAAAGGGATTTTTACCATCTCCAGTTTGCATGTAGACAAGGGGTGTGACCTGCTTATGGTCACACAGTCAGCAGAACCGCTTTCTGGCTTCGACATCGTAAATGCTGTCAGGTGTGGTCACAGTGCTTGAGAGTCTCAGACTACTAGGGAGCAGGACTGACGCCCTCCGCCTTTCCCCTCTGCTTGGGTGGCTCTTGAGAAGGGGAAAGTGGGAGTATCTTTCCCTTTGTTTAGGACCGGGGCGGGGGCCACCAGGAGGCTGCAGGACTGGGTTGGGGAAGAGGAAGGTAGGCGCGGAGAAGGAGGACTCAGCACTCAGCCGGCTGAGCTTCGGTCTCTAGCCTGCCTTTAAGATGCTCTGGTTTTCTGTCTGTGTTCTAAGTTTGGGGAAGACTGTGTACTCTGTGGCCACAGAAGGAGACCTCGAGTGTTTGTGCATGAGCACGTGCTAGCAGGTGAAAGCACAGGGATAAGGAAACCTGTTTACCTTTCTCTAGTGCAAGGTTTCCCAGACTTATTTGACTAATATGACTTAGGGAAATTCTACACCCTGGAAAATTGCTCTTTGCGGGAAGTTTTGGAGGTTCCCCTGGGAAGTCCTTGAGGATAGCCCAGAGTAGTCTGGGTTTGGGTCCATCTGCCAGGTTTGGGTCCTGATTCAGCCACCACCTCTGTGACTTTGGGCAAGTTCCTTCTCTTTCTCAGGGCCTCCTATTTCTTGCACTTACTCCCCCTACTCACAGGGTTAAGAGGTGTGGACACACACAGAGTGATAGAAACCTGCCTGGCACGTGGTGATGACTGAAAAAAAATGCTTGCTACTTGTATCTGTTTTGCCAATTTGGATGGATCTGAGCTGTCCATAAAGTGAGGCCTGCGGGGACATTTTTGTCATTGCCTCTGTGTGGGACAATGACCCCTGATGGCAGGCGGTCATTGGCTGGAGGGCTGTCCAGCACAGTTGTGACAAGGCCAGCATGGGGGTGGGTGGGTCACGGGGAGAGCTCAGGCTCCTTCTTTGTGTCTAGGGCCACCTTTTCCTGGTGGGAGTGGCTCTCTTGGGTCCCCCGAGAGCTCATGAACTGCCCTCTCCTCTCTGTGGCCTCCTGGTCATCTCCTGCCCCTCCCCCGGGCCCAGTGGTGTGGACACCTCTCAGTCATTTTGGGGTCTTCATGAAATCTCCTCAGAGATCATTGAGGCCAGCTCCCTCATTTCATGGGTGGGGAAACTGAGGCCCAGGGAAGCAGTGTGACTCGCACAAGGTCCACAGCTGGTGATTATGGGCTCCTTCAATGTTCCCTTGGGCCCCAGCCTTGTCATCATCTCTCCGGGCACGTTTCCTGTCTCTCTTGGGTCCAGGCCATCTGCTGCCCGTTTAGGCACATCATTCCACCTGGAGGCCTGAGCCTCCCTCATTTTGGGTCTTGGAGCCTTGAGTACTGGGAAGCTGATTTTGAGCACATCTGCTTCATACCCTTCCCCAGTTCTGTGCCTGGAATGGTTGTGGGGGGTGGGGTGGGGTTGGATTGAGTTCTGACCCTCAGGAGACGCTAAGTCCAGATGGGGTCGAGGGTATAGATGGTGCAAGATGGGACAAGTTCTCAGGCCAGGAACCTATGTTAGGGATGGTGATTATCCTGAAACAATTTTTTTAAAGATTTTATTATTTGACAGAGGAAGACGCAGTGAGAGAAGGAACACAGGCAGGGGGAGTGGGAGAGAGAGAGAAGCAGGCTTCCCATGGAGCAGGGAGCCCAATGCGGGGCTCGATCCCAGGACCCTGGGATCATGACCTGAGCCGAAGGCAGGCACCCAATGACTGAGCAACCCAGGCACCCCCAATTTTTTAAAAAAAGATTTATTTATTTTATTTAGAGAATGTGCAGGCATGAGTGGGGGAGGGGCAGAGGGAGAGAGAAAATCCCCAAGCAGACTCCCCACTGAGCATGGAAACAGACGTGGGGCTTGATCCCAGGACCCCCGAGATCCTGGCCTGAGCTGAAATCAAGAGTCGGATGCTCAACTGACTGAGCCACCCAGATGCCCCGATCATCCTAAAAATTTATCAAAGTTTAGCGCACGGTGCTAACGGTGTGCTGGGCACATGTTTCCAGTGTGTTGCCAACAGACCCAGCAAAGTATCAGTCTTTTATGGTCCCCATTTTGCAGATGAAGAAGCTGAGACTCAGAGTGGACAAGTACCGCAAGTGTAGTAGGGGATGGAGCCCATCTCTGCAGTGGCGGCACCCAGCGCAGGTTCCCGACCATGCTTCTCTCCTGATTCCCTGCCAGGGAGGAGCTCAGGTGATAGGTGATCTGGGTGCTCAGAGGCAGGCAAGCTTCTCCCGAGCTGGGGTGGAGCCAAGCCAGCAGGGATGATGCACACCGCATTCCCCGGTGCTCTTCCCACTGTCCCCTCCTCGTGGCCGCCCCCAGAGCCCACAGAGCTCATCTGCTGCCCTCTGCCCACGTGGCTTGGAGCCAGGTCTTGCTCTGGATGTGGATCTTTCCATCCACCCATCCGCTGTTTCACATCCCCTTAAACTCCGCGGGCCTGCCCTCAGCCTTGTGTCTGCCCCACCCCAGGGAGAGGCTTTGGGCAGGGCCTCAGGCTGGATGGGGGTGCCACCCCTGCCCCCTCTCTCGTGGCCTCCCTGATTTTAAGCTGCAGGGTGAGCTGCCTTTGGCCCCCATCCAGGGCTGCTGCACTTCTGCTGCCGCCTCCTCCCTCCCTCCCTCCCCCCCTCCCTCCCCCCTCCCTCCCCCCCTCCCTCCCCCCCTCCCCAGACCGCTTTAATTTCCATCTGTCAGCAGCTTGTGGAAGGACAGACTGACACATGTTCTCTCTTGCCCTCCCTCCTTCCGGCCTGCTACTGACTCACCTGCCCTAGTCCCCTCCCCTTCTAGTCCCTTTGGCAACTGTCTGAGGCTTGGCTTCCAGCACGGCCCTGCCCTGTGTGTGTGCGTGTGCGTGTGCGTGTGCGTGTGTGTTGGGCTGTGGCTCGGCTGTGCGTATGGAGGCAGGGTCCTAGATGTGCCTTGAGGGAGGTGTGTGGTGAGTGTGTGCAGGGCGTGTCCCTATTTCAGGGGGAGGTGGCCAGTGCGCCGGCTCGAGGTGCAAGGTGTGTGAGTTAGCGAGCGTATGTGTTTGTGTCGTGTTTTGAGGGAGTGGCAGGCAGGAGATGCGGAGGTTGTATTGAGGTGCAAGGTGACCCAGCCTCTCAGTCAATGGGCAAACATTTGCTTAGTCCTGCCCCTCCTGGCCAGGCCCTGGGCCAGGGGCTGGGGGCACAGAGGCCAAAGGGACCCATCTTTGCCCTTGAGTTGCTCCCAGACGGGCTCTGAGGCAGGGGCTGGTCCAGGTGGGAGCCCAGGGCGTGCAGGGCTGCGGAGGGGGGTGGAGGCTGAGGGAGGGGAGCAGGGCAGCTTCAGAAGAGGAACTGAACTGCAGGGAGAGTGAGCAGAGGGCGGGGGGGGGGGGCGGGGGGAGCCTCCCAGGCGAGGGAACAGCTCATCCACACACACTGCAGTCTGCGAAGGCCCTGCATGTTCTTTTTTTTTTTTTTTTAAAGATTTTATTTATTTTTTGAGAGAGAGAGTGAGAGAGCACGAGAGGGGGGGGGGCAGAGGGAGAAGCAGACTCCCTGCTGAGCAGGGAGCCCGATGTGGGACTCGATCCTGGGTCTCCAGGATCATGACCTGAGCCAAAGGCAGTCGCTTAAGCAACTGAGCCGCCCAGGGGCCCAGGCCCAGCATGTTCTGGGAGTCCCTAGCTGTTCCGTGAGACTGGGGCACGGGGAGGGATGATGTGGGGGCTGAGGGCTGAAGAGGTTGTACAGCCTGATGGGTCAGTGCCTGGCTCATCCCACGCAGGTGCCCCTAGGAGGGGCCCGTTGCTGTCAGTGATGGGGTACGCGCTGGGGGCCAGGCACTGGGCTTTGCACTTTGGTTCCCATTTCATTCCCCAGCCACCCTGGAGTTAGAGGACCCTAAGGCTTTGGTAGTGGAGGGACTCATCCAAAGCCTCAGTAAGTGGTGGACCTGGGATTTGAACCTGCCAGGCTGCCCACCTTGTCCCCTCTGTGCTGTGCTATACAAGGCCTTGATCGCATCCTTCCGGAAGGAGTCTGGGAAAGCCTGGAAAGGCGGGAGAGGGAAAGGGTGGGGGAAGTGAGGGGCACAGATACTGTGGAGTGGGCTTTGGGGGAGGGAGATGGGGCTTCATGGGTGACCGTGTCCTCTGGTCTGTCTCCTTTGCAGTCCTGGCAGGTGCCCGGCCCGCCCCCCGCCCTCTGGCTCCCAGGGCCTGCTGGAGGGGATGCTGGCCACCAACAACTCCAGGGTAGCGGTCCATGGGGGATCCGCAGCCTCGGGCCTCAGGGGCCTGTTGGAGGAGGAAGGAGCCACAGTGGGTACTGACCAGGGGGAGCCCCTGGAGCCTAGCAGGGACCCTCTGCCTTCCTGGAGGCCACAGCCAGATGGTGAAGCCAGCCAGACAGAAGAGGTGGACGGCACCTGGAGCCCTGCAGGGGTTGGGCAGGGCGAGGAGGGCCCGACACGGCCCCCTCGGCGGCCCTCCCAAGGCCCTCCTCCCCGCTCTCCCAGTCAGGACTTCTCCTTCATTGAGGTCAGTGCAGGGTGAGCCCAGGGCAGTGGTTGGGATGTTGGGGGGCATGTGGGTGATGCAGCCGGAGCCTCGGCCTTCGGGCCTCCTTGAGCTGTGTCAGGCCGGGGCGGGGGGCGGCAAGTGGGCAGTGGGTGAGTCCTATGAACAGGGTGCTCTAGGCTGCTGGAGCTATTGAGGGCTCCTGGGGGATGGGGCAGGGCCACGGGACAGCAATGGCAGTGGTGTTGCCGTTGTCCCGAGCAGGACACCGAGATCCTTGACAGTGCCATGTATCGGAACCGTGCCAACCTGGGGCGCAAGCGAGGGCACCGGGCCCCGGCCATTCGGCCTGGGGGCACCCTGGGCCTATCAGAGGCAGCGGACTCGGACGCACGCCTGTTCCAGGACTCTACGGGTAGGGCCCCTGTATTGTTGGGTGACGTCTGTGTCGCTGCCTGGGGGCTGTGCAGGGGAGGGCTGGTCTGCGCTTGCTGTCTGTGCTGAGCCCCCGCTCTGGGCCCTTGCAGAACCACGAGCTTCTCGGGTGCCGTCTTCAGACGACGAGGTGGTGGAGGAGCCTCAGAACCGCCGGACACGGATGTCCTTGGGCACCAAGGGGCTGAAAGTCAACCTCTTTCCTGGCCTGAGTCCATCAGCCCTGAAGGTACCGTCTGATCCTTCAACCACACATCCAGCCTCTAGCCACCTTGCGTCCAGCGTTTCTTCTGTCCGTCCATCTCTCCCTCCCTCCCTCCATCCCCTGGGCCCTTCTTCCCATCTCTCCTGTCATTTTGCTCTCCACTGAGGGCCCTGCTGGCCCATGCTGTGTGCTAAGTAGGATGGAAGGAAGAACAAGGCGTTCATGTCCCAGTACTTCATGGGGGTGGGTTGGGGACACAAGCCATGTCTCTGATTAGCTCTGGTGAAGGGGGGGAGGTGTTTAGGTGTCACTGGGGAGGTACAGATAAGGGCTAGGCCTGTTCAGAGTGTGTGGGGGGATTATTTCCTAATGGTCATATGGTACGGGATGGGAGGGTATATTGAGGAAGGTCTCACGTAAGTATTTGATCTTGGCTTTGAGGCATATGTAGGAGTTGGCTCTGGAGGGTGGGGTGATGACGGGGAGTTGTTCCAGGCAGAGGGAACAGAATGAACAAAGACACAGGGCTGGGAAGTCACCACTGGCTTTGTCCAGCCCAGTTAGTCTGAATTCAGTGTAGCAGGATCTTCTTGAGCACCTACTCTGTGCAGGGCATGGCTCAGCTCTTGGAGGGTTATCTTTAAGCGACTTCCCATCCATCTGGGCAAAAGGACTGCAGAGGGGTCTGTGCCTGATTCTGGGGACAGCATACCCTTGGGAGAAGGACTTGCCCTCTGGGAATCCTCCCGCTTATTCATCTGATGTGTCCCTGCACTTGGGCTCATCTCCTAGGCCAAGCTGCGCCCCCGGAACCGCTCAGCTGAGGAGGGGGAGCCTGCGGAGAGCAAGCTGAGCCAGAAGGAGTCCGCCGTGCAGCGTTCCAAATCCTGCAAGGTCCCGGGGCTGGGGAAGCCCCTTGCATTACCTCCCAAGCCAGAGAAATCCTCAGGGTAGGTGACCTCAATTGGCCTCACTGGGTTGGCCCGAATTAACTCTGTGAAGTTGGCGCTCCAGTTCCTGGCGCCGCGGTGAAGCCTCAGCCTCCCTCCTCCGGTTGGAGGGCGGGTTTCCCTCCCTACCACTTCCTCACTTTGTTCACCTTTCCTAAGGTTTGCCTTATGACCTTTTCCCTGTGCCATTCTAGGTCAGAAGGATCATCGCCCAACTGGCTACAAGCCCTGAAGCTGAAGAAGAAGAAGGTCTGAGAAGTCCTCGAGGTGAGAGTGGGTTCCTGGGCTGGGCTCTGTCTGGGGCTCAGGGGTGAGCAGGGCCTGCCCTGGAGGGTTCAGGAGGCCCTGTACCTTCTTTTGGGCCGTTCTCTCCTCGTTTCTCTCTGAGGAAGACCAGTGGAGCCCAGCTCTAGGACCTGGTGGGCCCCTTGGCTCCCTTAGGTTTTGCCCACAGAACAAGGTGTTGCCTGGGATGGACGAGGAGGAGGGCTTCCGTCCTGCCTTCCTCCCTGGGCTCAAGGACGGTCCCCATGCGACCCCCCGCCCTGTGGCTGGCCCAAGTGGGGTCAGCCAGCCTTTCTGGTCTGGGACCCCTGGAGGCACTTACCAGGCTCAAGGGCTCCTCACTACTAGGCTCAGCTGGGGGAGCCGGGCTGGGCACAGGGAGTGGAAACCGAAGCTGAAGGGGCTCCTCTGGCCGCCACGGTGTCCCCCATGGTGTCCCCTCCTGACCTCTTCCCTCCCCTCCCCCTTGCAGGTCCTTCCCATCGGGCAGTCTCAGGCAGTGCCCATTCCTGTGGGGTCCCCGGCGGGGAGATGGCTGGAGCCCCACCAGGTCCCAGGCTGCAGCCTCTGTCCCCCTCCACGTGAGGAGCGTCTGGGGAGGCACATTTATGCACTTTGTATCCCCCCCTCCTTCCCTCCTGACCAGATTCAGGCATTAGTGGTTGAAGGTTTTGGTCCCTCCTCCCTCGCTCTCTTTACACCTCCCTCTCTGCTTCCTCCTCCAGCCTCCCTTGGGTTTTCTTTTGATACCAGTTTATAGCATTTTTATAAAAGCCTTTGATTTTTGTAATGGGCGGAGCCCTGCCCCAGCCCCAGCCCAGGCCTCCCTCCATCCTGCCAGGTGCCCCACAGAGACCAAGAACATTTTGCCACTTGCAACAATAAAGTTTTTTGGGAATTGGTGCTGCCCAGGTTGTGGTGTGTGGTTGAGGTGCCCCAGCCCCCGTGCAAGGCCATCGCTGGGCCATCCTGGCCCGCCAGCAGCTCACTGTGACCCTGAACACTCACCTTCCCTCCACCTGTGGGCTCAGTGTCCCTGAGGAGGGCGTTTTGGTGATAGTAGGCTGTGTTCTGATTCGGACAACCCCCGAATCTCAGTAACTAAACACACAACGGGTCATTTTCCATTCATGGCACAGTCCAGGGTGGGTTGGTGGTGGGGACGCTCTGCGCCTCGCAGTCATTTAGAACCCAGTTTATTCGCTGTGGTGACTTGGCTATCTGCAGGGGCCTTGGAGTCCCCCGAGGACTAGTGGGAGACCCTTCCCACAGGGACCACAGGACGGGAGACTCTTCCATTGGCCAGAATTCAACTCCCGGTCCCCGCCAACTGCAGGGGCTACGGTACTGGGAAGTATAGTTTAGCTGTGTGGCCAGAGAGCACTGGGTGTTGGTGAAGAGTCAGCCCTTCTTGCCAGGGAGTTTGGCTTCTGTGAACCCTAAGGGCCCTTTTAGCCCATGCATTCTGGAATGTCCACCGGGCCCTGGCATCCTCCTCGGCCGGTTCCCCAGACCTGCCAACTGCTTTCTCGGAGGCTTGTTGAGAAGAGAGGCCCCCGTGGGCCTCGCCTTGTGGAGCCTGAGCTGAGTCACTGAGGTCAGAGCTACACCTGAATTTGGAAATCATCCCTTTTGCCAGAGCTTCTTAGCTTGTTACGTTGTTACGTTATGTTATGTTATTTTATTGTAGGGGGTATGGGGGCTGTTGACCTAATTTGAGAATTTGACCAAAGCTGTGGACTCCCTAGAAAACTGTGCATACCACGGCAGCCTGGAATTCCCATCACGGACCTCCTAGGCTAGTGGTTCTTAACCTTCACCAGTCATCACAGTCTCCCAGGGTGCTTACTGAAATGCACATTCCTGGGCCCACCTCCAGGCTTCCGCTCCTGTAGTTGTGCCCAGGAATCTGCATTTTGAGAAGCCCCCTGAAGTAGAGGGGAAAGAAAGGTGGGGGGCTCCAAGTGGCTGCACCCCTGGTGGGTCGGTGCCGGGCAAGCCCTGTGCCAACCCTCCTGGGGCCCAGCAGAACGGAGCTGACGTGAGCTTTGTCCTGTTCTCTCCCATTCTCTTCTCCTTGTAGCAGTAGGACTGGCAGGAGCCCAAGCCAAACACTTAAGACTCATTAGTGGGACAAATGGAGCCTGGGCTGTCCTGGTGCCCGGGCTCTGCTGGGAGGGAGAAGAGATGGGCCCGCTCCCAGGGAAGGCAGAGCCAGATCTGGGGTGTGGGTGGGGGTGTCCCACAGGTTAGAGGGCAACCCACTCAAGCTTTGACCATAAAGGCAGGTGTGTGACGAATACCACAACTGGGATAGTAACATTCTCGTGGTGCCGCCATTTCTCGGGGCTGTGCCTGGGGTTCTCGGAAGTGGCCTTGGAGGGGCAGGTATTGTTGGTCTTTTGCCTGGATTTGGATTTTTGGAAACAGCCGAAAGTCACTTGGAGGCTTGCGTTGGGGAATACTCCGGGCAATCAAGGAAGCTGATCAATTTTGGTCCAAGGTGGCTCTGAAGGCATTTTCTAAAGAGTTGAATGAGCTCTGGAAGAGTCACTAGAATAAATGTGCAGCCTTTCGGGCTGAAGGCAACGGGTCAGTGTGCTTATAAAGGAATCAAGCCTTTTTCAACCCTTTTCCTGGATGTTAGAAAGCTGAGCTGTCCCTTCTCGGAGAACCTTGTCCCAATCCCATTACCAGTAGGAATGTCTCAACACCATCTCTCTCCTATTCCTTGCTTCTGAGGCCCTCACCATGAGTCCGGCCACATATGAATCAGATACCAGATGACGGGAACTTTGGCAACTGAGCAGGAGTGGAGCTCAGGGAGTGATCCCACATTCCCTGCGATCTAGGAGCTGGAATTGGTGTTCGGGGTCGGGCGGAGCCTGAGAACAAGCTGGCCTTTGCCCATGGTGCCCTAGGGATCTGGGTGGTAGTGGTGGGTGTTGGGTGGGGGGACTCTTCTGAAGGGTTGCTGCCCACTTAGCTCTTCCTCCTTCCAGTGTCCTGTCCCCAAATGTGTCCTGTCCCCAAATGTGTCCAGCCATCTGTCATGGTCACTGCCTGTCCTGAGAGGGTTGGAGGCAGGCCAGTTCTGATGGAGCAGTCATTCCTCGGCCGATGGCCCAGAGCAGGCTGAAGCTGGTGGACAATATCCCTCTGCCTCCAGCTTCTCACTGAGCCAGAAGCCTCGGCTCACCTGGAACAAGCCCTTTGGCCTCTGTAGCAGCTGCCTGCCTCCCTCCCTTCCTCTGCCAGCAAGTGCTGATTGATCACAGACAGGAAAAAGGCTGGCAGGGCTCGGAGGCACACCACCCTGCCCTGGGGAGCGAGCCAGGCCCTTGTGGCTCGAGCCTCCTGGGCGCAGAGTGATAAAGTGGGTTTTAATCGCTGCCGGAGAAACGACTCTAATTATACTTTTATTTATATAGCGCTCTGTCTCCAAAGGGCCAAACACCCATTCATTCATTTTTTTTGAAACAAAGTTTATTGAATTTTCTTCTGATGGCAAAAGCAGAACATTCATGGTGGACCACCTAGAAAACACGGAGAAGTAAGATTCAGAAATCCGCCTGTAACATCGTCACCCAGATATGCCACCAACATTTTTTTTTAAAAGAATACTTTTTATTTTAGGATAGATTTCGATTTATAGACATGTTGCGAAAATAGTACAGAGTTCCTCTAAACCCACACCCAACTTGCCCTAATAGTTTACATTCGTAAGGTACATTTGTTACAACTAATGGAGCAATATTGATGCATTATTATTTATTCAAGTCCACACTTTATTCACAGTCCTTAGGTTTTGCCTAGCCTCCCCTTTTCTGTTCCAGGATCCCATCCCGGACGCCCCATTACATTTAGTAGTCACGTCTCCTTAGGCTCCCCTAGCCTGGGACCGTTTCTCAGACCTTCTTTGTATCTGGTGACCTTGACGGTGTAGGGGAGTCCTGGTCTGGTAATTTGTAGCATGTCCTTCAGTGTGAGAGAGTCTGATGTTTTTCCTGTGATTAGAAAGGGATTATAGGTTTCCGGGAGGTAGAAGTAAAGTGCCATTTTCATTCTATCAAAGGTACATGCTCTCAGTATGACCTATCATTTGTTCATTTTTTAAAAAAGATTTATCCATTTATATTAGAGAGTGAGAAGGGGGAGGAGCAGAGAGAGGGGGAGAGAGAGAGCAGCAGACTCCCTGCTGAGCGCGGAGCCTGGCCCCATGCGGCCCGATCCCACCACCCGAGCAGAAAACAAGGGTCGGATGCTCCACCAACTGAGCCACCCAGGCACCCCTATCATTTGTTCATTTTCCCCTATCGTTTGTTCATTTTAACCATGCCGCCCTGGCCGAGGCAGTGTCTGTCAGGATTCTCCGCTGTCAAGTTATTCTGTCCCCCTTCTATATTGTACTCTTTGCAAGGAAGACCCTAGCTCTGGAATATTCACAGATATGCTTGCAGTCTCAACGTTTCCACTCACCCACAAAGCAAAAGCAAAGTCCCAACGGATGCTTGTTAACTCCTGACCGTTAAGGATCTTGCCAGAAGCTGGGATCTGGGTTCTAGCCTTGACCCTTTTATTTTCATAATTTCTGGAGCTCTTAGCATGGAGGCACCAATTACCCTTTTAAATGTGTCTGTGCCTTAGTTTCGTCCATGAAAACCAAACTGTTTACTTACTATGCGCCAGTCCCTGTGTGAAGTGCATTCCATGCCTTGTGAATCCACGGATGACTCAGTGATGGAGGTGATGTTACCGTCTTCATGTTATGGATGAGAAAACTTTGATTTGCAGAAGTTGCCCAGAGTCACGCAGCTTTGCAAGTGGTAGAGCTGGGATTGAGACCTTGGTCTGTGACTCCAGAGCTCAGCACCAAACCATGCTTACCTGGCCTGGTTAGCCACAGAGCAGGGAGGTTCAGAGTGTGGGCTCACGGGTTTCAACTGTGGCTCTTCCATTCACTAGCAGTGTGGCCTTGGGTAAGTCACTTCACATCTTTATGCCTCAGTTCTCCTATCTGTGCAGTGGGGACATGACATCTTCCAGATGGGGCTGTTGTGAGGCTTAATTTTTTTTTTTTTAAGATTTATTTATTTTTGAGAGAGAGAGAGTGTGAGTGAGTGCATGAACAGTGGGAAGTGGCAGGGGCAGAGGAAAAGAGAGAATCTTAAGCAGGCTCCCCGCCCAGTGTGGAGCCCAACGTGGGGCTTGATCTCATGACCCTTGAGATCATGACCTGAAGTGAAATCAAGAGTCAGACGCCCAACTGACTGAGCCACCCAGGTGCCCTGAAGCTTAAATTACTCTAAAAACATGCTTGACTCAGGGTAAGCAGTCAGGGAGGGTTATCATTATTGTTATTACTATGGTATTTTTTTCATTTGTCCGTCCGTCCGTCCATCTGTCCATCCGTCCATCCATCCATCCATCCATCCATCCAGGAAAAGCACTGTCTGCTCTGGGCCCCCGTTTCCCATCTATAGTGGGTGTCGAACCAGAGTAGGAGTTCTTAGCCCTTTTTGTGTCATGGACCCTTCCAGTAGGCCGGTAAAATAAAATACACAGGATCACAAAGGAAACTAATTACACTGAAATAAAGCTATCAAAATATTAAAAAACAAATCTGTGGTATATGTGTTTATTTAGTAACATAAAACAAGATCCGGTGGTAGGTCCAATCACTGCTACAATTTTGAGGTGGTAATATTAACAATGTTTTGAGAATACTGCAATGACGAATGAGCTATGAAAAAACCTGTCATTATTCTTCGTGACAAAGCCTTAGGTACTCCGGATTCTACTGTGGTTTGATGCTTGTGTTCACAATAGGAAAAAAATGCTAAGTTTCAGTTACAGGCGTGTGAACATTTTCCCCCTCAGTCCAAGTTCACAGATGGCTGAA